TGGGAGAATGTACATAAGCGTTTTCATTTCCACTTGCGAAGAGGTCTTCGCGTTTTTGAGTCTTTGCGAAGACCTCTTCGCAAGTGGAAATGAAAACGCTTATGTACATTCTCCCAAAGAGGAAATGTATTTGCGAAGTAGCTTTATGAACACGTCTTCGCAAAGGCGAATCAAAGATACTGGCGTCTTTCCAACGGACAGATTCCTTTGCGAAGTCACCTTACGAACACGTGTTCGCAAAGGGCGAAAAGCATTCTCGGTTTCTAATAGCAAATATAATTACCTTTGCGATGTAGCTTTACGAAAGGGTGTTCGTAAAGGCGAAATAACTTCCTATAGACACGAATATCAAATCTATTTGCGAAGTGGCTTTGCGATGTGGCTTTGAGAGTGTTCGCAAAGGGCGAAAAATGTTTCTTCTATCTCTGTTTACTAATCTATATATTATTTTCTCGTTTCTTTCGTTTTAGTCGATCGTGCTGCTGCTAAACAGTATCAAACTGAATTAGCCAATAAACGACAGACTGTTTCATCAACATTTCAAACTCAAACTTCACCATATTTTACTCTTCCACCAACGAAGAAGACTACAACAACAGCAACATCTATCTTTCAAAATCGAATACCATTTGAGAATTTAACTAATATCGTGCCAGTCCTATCGTCTTCAACCGCACAAACACCACGTATTATTCTAATACCTCCATCATCGTCTTCAACGTCACAACAACTGTCTTATTCTTTCATTCTAAGATCTTTTAATCCACCATCCATTTATTTATGATGATCATTTGAACAGTTAACAATATCACGAACAGTTAGAAAGCGTCCACACGAAGAAGAACAGATTTTTGAACAAGTATTTTATATTTTTCTTCTGCTGTGTTATATAATGCGTTATTTTGAGAGAACAAGCTTTTTGGTTGCAAATTTTCTTGTTTATCTTTCTTTTTGGTGAAAGCATTTTGTTTGTGGACTTTTTTTGTCAGATCTTTTCTCTTTGTTAGATGAATTTTTTCTTGTGTTTTTAAGATGTACTTTCTTCATTTTCGAAGAATTGAAAAAATTGAAAAATCAAGTGAAATAAAAAACAAAATACATAGCGTTTATCTGGGGAGATTTTGAGGCCTTCTTCTTAGTTTACCTAAGCAAATCTACTTCTCTTTCATTTTTTTTGTTTTAGATAAAAATTCCTATCTAAAATGTCATACAAACCGGTCTTCGCGAATTTTAAAACGACAGGTAAGATTTCTTTCTTCTGTTCTCTAGAGTGAAATTCTAACGTTTTTCATTGTATTTCTTTTTTTATAGATGACCTTGTCACACATCTTATCGATTATGTAAAACAAAAAAATTGGTCTGAAATTCATGGCACGTCGCCAAATGAACAACATCAACAAAAATTGATTAAATTTTTCGAGGAATGTAAGCTAGAATTCTTTAAAATAATTTGTTTGACTTCTTTATTTTACTATCTTATTTTTTAGGTAAACAATCAAATGATACAACAAGACGATATAAACCAAAGAGTGGAGAACATATATATTTTATTGAAAAGGCTGAAAATGATTCTTTAGTATTAATGATGGAAGAGTATGTTAAAAAATCACCGAATGAAGAGAAAAAATATAATGAACAACGACAAAAAAGTAAGTAGCACCGACTTTTTCACTACTCTTGTTCTATATATTTTTATCGTTCTTTATTTTTAGGAAAAAGACGTCTGTTATTTCGTGAAGAAGTGATAAAGTTGTTAGTTTCAAGTTTCATTGATTATGGAAAACGAAATGGTCACCCGATTTCAAATCATCAGATGAACGAAAAATTTAAACACAAATACTTTATCGTTCGTCAGAAAATTGATCCGGTATTAGATTATCTGTAAGTTGAACGTAACTTCCTATTACCTCCTCTGATTGTTTTATTTTTTTATCTTACTTTTTAGAAATAAACTTGTTTATTTCGAAAACATGGAGTCAAGTTCATCTGAAGACGACGACGAAAATGATGTTCGACATAATGATAAAAATGTTGGTGAGGATTTAAGCATGAACCCTCTATTATTAACTTTCTAACACGTCTTTTCATCTGTTTCTCTTTTCTCTTCAGTTACAACACCAAAAGCAGCAACAACACAACAAATTCCAATTGCTCCTCCTCCAACAACAGCTCCAAAACCCGTCTTGAAAGTCTCTTCGTCTTCAAATACGTTAGTCCATGAATTGTTTTTATCACTGACTAAAAAAGTTCTGCTTTCGTAAACTTTCAATTGTTTCCTGGCAAATTAAAAAAATCAAGCCTTACAAGTGCCGTCCTTTTGCCACCTGTTCATAATGTGCTCTCTAATCTATATCCATGCCTTTTTTCTCTTTTGTTTTAGACAATTCAAACGTAAATCACTTGATCAAGGTCATCAAAAACAACAATCAAAACAAATGAAGAAAGATAATGGTGGAAGTGGTAAGTGAAAAAGGGTTAAATCTATTTTCCAACTTAATAATTAATTTTTTTGCTTATTTTTAGATCAAACACCTGTAGCAACAACAACAACTGATACACAATGTGGAGGTGGTTTAAAGACAGTTGTTCGTCGTTCTTCAGCTACAACTCAACCGACTGCATCTTCAACTACAGCTCCTACAACACAATCATTTAAACGTGAACTACGCCCACGAAAAAAATGAAGTAAGAAATTTATTAAAATGATATTGATTAAATAAAGACAATGGCACTGTTAAAAAAAACACTATTTCCTTATCGTATGTTTGTTTTGTGCTTTTTTGTGTGTAAAACGTTACTTCAACTCATTAGATTGTAAATAGGTAATTTCTTTGTTGATGTTTGTCAGATACAGGGGGTTGTTTCACAGAAATTCTTAAGTGTTCTTAAGTGTGTTTAAGCAAATTCGAGTGCATATTGAAAAATGATATTTAGTGTAACGTCACCTTTTTCACACTTTTTGTAGTATAAGGGTAGAATTAATACCGAAAATGCTGTATAATGATGAAATATAGCTAATCAAGATTTTAGTATAAAGCGTCTTGCCGTTAAAAGTATCTTCATTTTTTCTTGGTTGTAGACACATGCTAGATACAATAAGACATTTTTGTGTCCAGGACACATGGGAGGCACTTATAAGACACATTAATGAAAACGATAACCCGCTATCAATAAATCGTCCGTCATGGTTTCCATAGGGTTTTGTCTGTCAAAAAAAATTCTTTCACGGCATAACGCCCTTCTCAACAACCACTGATTAACTAGCGCCATTAATTCTTTAATTTCTTTTCTTTTATTTATTTAAATATAAGTGTCAATAAAAACTAGTTAAAAAATGTTATTTGTTTACTCTAATTCTTCAATTTTTATATCATATTATAAGCACAGTAAAAGTTAAGACAAACTTAAGACACCTACAGAATAGTCTTAACTTAAGCGTGGACTTAAGTCTAGCTTAAGTTAAGTCTATGACTTAAGAATTTTTGTGAAACACTCAAAATTAAGTCTAACTTAACTTAAGACAAAACGGAGACTTAAGTAAAAGTCGAGGACTTAAGAATTTCTGTGAAACACCCTCCAGGTTGTTAAACAAGATTGTACAGTTTTCTACAAGTCATACAGGTTGTTATACAGTAATGTCCTGTGATTTTTTCTACAAGTGATATAATGTCGTTCTTTCTTTTGTTATTTGAAGTCAGATATTTTTGTATTTGTTTTGTCAGAAGAACCAGATATTTCTTGTACTAGTTTTGTTATAAAAGTCAGGTTATTCCATACTTGTTTTTCTTTGTTAAACGTTTTTTCGTTTCAAAAATAAAAAACTGCGTTTGAGCAGCGAAAGAAACTTTGAAACTCTTAGACTAAGGCTCTGAAGGGAAAGATCTGAACTATATCAGTCAATTTTTGTTCAGAGAAGCGAAAATTCCAACAAAATCCTTTTATTTTTGTCGCTACATCTTTTCATTTAGATCATCCTTTACGAAGAGGTGTTCTCAAAGCTACTTCGTAAAGCTCGTTTGTGAAGTGGTGTACTCTGCATTCACTATCTTCGGTAAACAGCGACATCATTTCTTCGCATTCAAAAAGTATGTTGACCAATCATATGCGTATGCAGTATGCAAAAAGAAGTATGCATTTTCCCATTACCCCCGACAGACAACTATTTTGTAAAACTCCAGAGTAAAGTCAAGCGAAAAATTATTGATCAAATTATACTCGCGTTAAAGTCACTTCGTTGTACATAATACAGATTAGCAAATTTGTAAGTGTTGCTAAGCAGAAATTATTTTGTTCGATAGTATAATGTGTAACATGACTTCCAGGCTACAAAACCCTTTCCAAATTCTCTTTAAAAAAAGGATTTTGACTCCTCTTCTACATTTTTGCTGGGATTTTGTATCGAAAATATTTAATTTCGTTTCTTGTTGAAACTGACATTTAGTACGTGGAGAAATGGCATGGACTGCGTCAAAAAGTGATTTTTGGTCACCGGAATTGATCGGATGAAAAGTTCACAGATATTCACCTTCGAGCTTTTAACCATAATCCTACAGGTCTGAATTCTTCCCATCAATTCTGAGAAAAAAGGAAACAGTGTCCTGTATATGAGTTTTCTCAGAATTGACTGGAAGAATTCAGACCTTTAGGATTATGGCTAAAAGCTCGAAAGTGAATTTGAGTGAACTTTTTATCAAATCAATTTCAGTGGCCAAAAATCATTTTTTGACGCAGTCCATGCCGTTTGTCCACGTACTAATTAAGATATAGAGATTTACTTGGTTTATACACTGAAACATTATAGATGAAGTGAAAGTAAAAACTGACATTTGTTATTGCCAGACGAATTTGTCTAAAACAGTGTATATAATGTTTTCATATCTAGTACTTTATCAAGCTGTTTGAATTAAATATCGAGGGGCTATGGTTGTTGAAATATTTTAGTGCATTGTCGCACAAGTTGTTGCACATTGGTACTTACACTATTGACATGGACTGTCACCACGTAATATCTAAGCAGACCTGTCGACAATTCTTTTCATAGTAGGAACAAACATTCCTTTGTTCTATTTATATTTTCTTTCTTTTCTTACACTGAATCAAAAAAGACACGTTCTGTGTATGGAAGAAACGGTTAATATGCATGTATAAATATTACATGTATTTTTTTCTTCCGTTAATGTAACATAAAAAAGAGAAAATATCCGCGTCCATAAACTCTTCTATTAGTTAGAACAGCCATATTGACCAATTTTTGGTGTTACCTCGAGCGATAGGGTATCACTCAAAGTTGATGAGAGTATTTGGTGATGACTTATCTTCACTGCTAGCTTTCTATTAATAAAATTAGCGCATATCATGAAGTTTTGATATTTGAGTATTAAGAACAGCTGAAAGAGAATTTCTACTGACTGATTTTTTTATGCCTTTTAAACGCTTTTGTCTTTAGCAATATCCAAAAACACAGTTTTATCGAAAACCCATCATAAATAATAAGAGAGAGAAGTTTTGAAATAAGTTCCATATTACATTGTCTGTTTGAGCCTCTCCTTATTGGTTTAGCTCAAGTTGTACATTATGTTGCTGCTTCCACTTAGTGAGCAGTTTAACTTCTATCGGTAATATAAAGTACAATCGACTAATAAAAGAAAATAAAATTATTGTAGATCAGACTAAGTAGTTTTGTGATATAGCATTAATGAAGAATATGATTTAGATGCCAAAGATAAGTTGAACAATTACTTCAAAAGCTTCATGGCATATCAAAACTTCAGAAAGTAATTAAATCGTTTTTGTAAATAGCTGCCCTAGAGATCAATCTTATATAAGATTCCTATAGGAATTTTCTAGAATATCTACAAGAATCTTATGAAAAAAACTAGTGGCACTTTCCGATGATCTGAACAACAAAAATGTTTTGAGGAATAATAATATAGCTGAATCAACAACAATTGTTAAGCTAAAATTATAAGAAAAACATATCTCCACCATTATTTTTTTGTAACTTGAATACCATTCGGTACACATGAAACAATGATTTGAAGGTAACGGTAACTTCATCAACACAATGTACAACTTGAACTAAAGCAGTAAAGAGAAGAGGGGCTCAAACAGGCAACGTAATATGCGACTTATTTCAAAACTTCTCTATTCTGTTATTTATGACACGTTTTCGATAGAACTCATCTAAAACAAAGTTTGGTTATTAAAGAAGTTGAAAATACTTGCAGTAGAATAACTTTCATTCGTATAGATCTGGTCGAGTCCTGCGAGAAATAGAGGAACAGATCAAATAAATCAAATTACAAACGGTTTACTGTCTTCGATCGGCTATAAGGAAGAATGTCGACTCAGCTCTGTAGATGCTATCTCACAAAACTACTTAGTCTGATCTACAATAATTTTATTTTCTTTTATTAGCCGATTGTACTTTATATTACCGATAGAAGTTAAACTGCTCACTAAGTGGAAGCAGCAACATAATGTGCAACTTGACCTAAAGGAATAAAGAGAGGCTCAAACAGGCAATGTAATATGCAACTTATTTCAAAACTTCTCTCTCTTGTTATTTATGATGGGTTTTCGATAAAACTGTCTTTTTGAATACTGCTAAAGACAAACGTCGATTTTTACGTTCACTTCATATGTTGACGATATTAATATTCATCGATAGTTCTATTCTTATCAAATGAACTGGTCAAAATAACGACGATAGTTAGATCAACCCACCCTCTACCATATTTCGTTTATGTAACAGATTATTTCATTTTATACTCGTTATTTTTTATATTTTAAAGCAAATAGAGAATTATTATAATCAAAGTGAGAGAATACTATTTAGAAAGATGCCGTGATCTGCTGAAAATCGAGCAGTTGTCTTCAGAGATAAATTTTGTAGGAACAGTGATTTGAGTATAGAAACACCTATTTGACGCTGTTTTTACTACACGCTATTGAAGGATTGGTTTTTACCGTAATATCCTTAAATAGAGTGATTGAAGTTGAATTACTTTCTTTAATGGTTGGTCAATGCTAAACTCTTAGGTTTCTAGAAATGTAGATTGGAAAATGATGAAAAGCTTCAGTATTTTTGGGTAGTATTTGGATCCTGTTTCGTCATTAATGATTTTTTTCAGTTAACTATACAAGAAAAATAAAATACCTCACCACATAATGTCCAGAATCTTTAACACAAACTACAATACAAACAAGTGAAGAAAACGAAAAGAGCAAATGAAACTCATGCTGACTGTTGAACTTTATCTGCAGGTAGATAAGAACTTACACGAACTTTTTACTCTCGTATTAAAAACTGGAAAAAAGAAGAATTAATTTGTAATGCTTAGCAAACAGAAAAAGATTACAAATTTTTAATGACACAATCCTTTTCTTGTATATAAATTGATTTAGAGTGACATCCTCAACAAGTTTCTTTAAAGTAAAACAAAGATGTTACATTTATTATTATTTATACTATCTGTTACTTCTTTGACAAATGGAATTCGTGATCCGTTTCGTCGAATGTTACCTAAAACGAAGCCAGCTGTTCTTGACCAGTTCGCAGATCCTGGTGAGCCACTCTTTCTAACACCATATCTTGAAGCAGGAAACATTGATCAAGCACGAAAATTAAGTAATGTGGAGATGCCACCATACAAATTTCAATCATTTTCTGGTTTTCTTACTGTTAATAAAACGTCCAACAGCAATCTGTTCTTTTGGTTTTTCCAAGCTCAAAGTAAAGATGTGTCAGCACCGGTAGTTGTTTGGCTCCAAGGTGGGCCTGGCTCATCAAGTCTATTTGGACTGTTCACTGAAAATGGCCCGATTATGGTTGATAAAAGTGGAATGTTACAGCAACAGCCATTCACATGGAACTCAAAATATCATTTATTGTATTTTGATCAACCAGTTGGTACTGGATTTAGTTTTACAACAGATGATATGGCTTATGTTCGAAATGAAGATGAAGTTGCAAGAGACTTATACAATGCATTAATACAATTCTTTCAAATCTATTATGAATATGCTCCGTCTCCATTCTATGTTACCGGAGAATCATATGGAGGAAAATATGTTCCAGCTATCACATATAAAATTCATCTGGAAAATCCTCAAGCTAAAGTAAAAATTAATCTAAAAGGAATGGCAGTAGGAGATGGTTTGATCGATCCATTCAATCAATGGGATTATGGCCCAGTTCTATTCCAATTGGGACTCATTGACCAGAGACAATTATCATATGTAAATCTACAAGCCGCTCTAGCTCGTTATTACATTGAACAAAAAAACTTTACCGCTGCTCATATTATATTTGATAATTTTTTTGATTATTACTCTAATGCCACAGGATTAAATGATATTTATAATTATCTTTTAACGGAACAGCCAGAAGATCTCGGCTACTATGTGCCTTTTATTACGTCCGAAGATCATCGACGACAAATTCATGTAGGAAATTTAACCTATAACAATGGTCAAAAAGTTTATGACGCTTTGTCAGACGATATGATGCAATCAATAGTTGGAAAAGTAACGGTAATAGCAAATAATTATAAAGTTATGATATATAATGGATTATTAGACATTATTATTGCTTCATCAGTAACAATGAACTGGGTTGATAAATTTCAATGGGACTATAGCGATGATTTGCGAAATGCTGATCGAATCATCTGGAAAGTCGATCCGAGTGATCAGGAAGTGGCAGGATATATCAAACGTGCGCATCAGTTTTATCTGGCAACAATCAGAAATGCTGGACATATGGTGCCTCATGACCAGCCAAGAGCCGCTTTTGACTTAATCGATCGATTTATTAATGACAAAAATTTTGCAATCTAGCGTTAAAGAAGTTAGGTTTTTTCTTGTACTGATTTTCTTTTTCTTTTGTAAAGTTCTTTGTAGGACGATTCACATAGTAAGCATAAGAAATTTTTTCTTAAAAAATTCACTAGCACAATCATGTTTTACAATACTCATTGCAGAATCGTGTTGTACACTGTATAAATTATTTGAAAAAGTTTCCATCCTAACAATTCTCTTTCAGACAGACGATTATTAGCCCACAAAATACAGGAATAGAACAGAGTGAAAGAAAGTTTCTTCTGTCAGCATGTTTTCTCTAATTACATCAAACTAAGATAAAGTTAGAAAGAAATATTGTGTTGTAATATTGTATAATTTACATCTATAAGAAGCTCATCGAAATAAAACCACAACCCAAAATGTGTAAATGCATAAGCATCTGCAGCAGAATCTCTTTTTTCTCGTTATGACACATAACAACACCAGTTTCAACACAAATTCACAAACTTTCTCCTTTTTCATTCTAGTGGAAAGTTTTTGAAATAAATGCCGTTGATGTAATTTCCAATAAGTTTAAAATTGAAAATATTTTATTTCTTGTTTATCTGTATAAGTATATCTCATTTTGACAGACAGTTTGTGTATCATCATCCAGAAATAGTAATCGCAGACAAAACTT